TTCATCTCATGTCCATAACAAGTATAGCAGGAACCTAATTAAGGTAAGAAAAGTGTGGCAAAACAGGAGAACAAAAAAAATAGTGGGATGAGGATTGATGCACGAAGATCAAATAAGGGAAGAATGAGAGAACAGTAATGTAAGAGATCAATCTGGCGGCTATTGGTTCTGACAAGAACCCTTAGGGTTTTGTTCCATTTTGGAGCGGATTAAATACAGGAAGTGATGGCAAACCCAACTTATACTTGGTTATGCTCTCTGAAATTTGGGTCCGAAAGTTTCCATTTTTCTCAATCTGGGAAATATCCAAAATATTTTATTTATTTCCTAAAAGTTAGGGGTAATTGACCAAGTGATAACCGACTGGTGTAGTAGAATCGCTTGCTGCTTTATTTCCTCGTTTTCCAGATGCGAGCGGCTGACACGTCGGCTTATTGGATTCGTTGGTTCAGTAAAACTGGGGCAAACAGGGAGTGCAGTTAACTTCTTATAAAAAAAAGCAAGTACACTTAAATTGGCACCACTTCATTTCTTCCAGCTTCCCACCATTCTCTCTCGTTTTTAGTTTCTTCGCCCTTTTTCCCCCCTTTAATTACTCGGCTTCCAGTTCCCCGTACACAGCGCCACCAAAAACTTCCCAAATAAAAAAAAAAATCCTCATTTTCCTGATCGCGTTAATACCTTCCTTTATTTTTTGTTTATTCTGCTGCTACTAAATTGGTAGGAAAAAAAGGAAAAAAAAATTTCCCTAAATTCAGTGCTGGTTGGGCAATTTATTGACTTGTGAAGAGCTAGCTTTTCATTGATTTAACTGAAAATTGCTGACCTTTTACTCGCCTAGTTTGATGGGCAGGAATGAGGTCACCCTAAAAGGAAAAGCCACCCGCTGAGAACGGGAAAACCATGTCAGTAACAGTAGAAGGGCGCAGTAAAAATATGTATATAAAAGAAGGGGGCGGAGTGCCATGCATGTCGAATTATATTAAATTGAATATATTATATAACCCCTTATTTGTGCAGTGCTGATTCGGGTTCGCATCTACGGTCCTGTCCTTTTGTGGGGCAGTACTCATCTTTCGAGTTTTGTAGAGGTAAGAAGAGCATGGCGCATAGTTGCATCAGCTGTGCGAGGAAGTAGGGCTACAATTCAGCCAATAGTTTCACTAACACACAGCAGCAGAGGGACGGACTTCAGCTGACAATACAATCAAATGCCGAAATGGTGAGTGAAATATCAAAGTGGGGGATGACGCAGCCAGAAGCCTGCTTTGAGCATTTTATCCGATAAGCTTAAGTTTCGCAACACAGCACTACACACACGCGTCTCTGGCTCAGCATCTCGAGTTAACATCAAATGGGCTACATCTGCATGTAGGTGCATAGACTTCAACTCTGTTAATTAACGTCTCTATTCATTTAGGATCTGTTTAGAACAGTGATTGAAAAAGTAGTTTATTGTGAATCTGACTTATGAAAAAGTAAAGTTAGGTAAAACCTAAATTGGATAAACTAAATTGTATTTAAATTAGAATTCAGAAAAAGTTAGTTTACAAAAGTGAGATTGGTAAAAAATTATTTGAATTATGATTAAGTAAAAGTAAGTTTGATTGTAAAATAATCAAAATATGTATGAGTTTTAATAAATAATAAAACATGATAAAAAAATCTATTCACATAATACGATGAAATTAAAATAATTTAATATGAAGAAGTCAAATTTAATGAATGAATTAAATTTTAAAACTTTAGAGAAATCATAAAATATTTTAAATATAAAGTAAAATATGAAAAAAAAATGAATTGAAGATAATATAACGAATAAGTGAAATTTAATAAGTCAATTAAAATTAAAACTTTAGAGAAATCATAAGAAATATTTTAAATATAATGTGAAACGTGATAAAAAAAATTTTGATTGTTTAATCATAACAAATAGTACACGTTTTAGTGTTTACTGTATATTTTCACTGTTTGAATTTCTGTAAAAATATGTTTAAAAAATTATAATACTTATAAATAAATTTAGATGGACAAGTCTTATGTTCATGTTACTGTATTTTTATTTTCTAAAAACAAAATTTAATTTTAAAATAAAAATAAATAATTTTTACCTTCTAAAAATAAATAAATTGCCTACCATCCAGACGTGAAAATACAATATTGAAAAGACTGACACCAATTTCATAATTTCCAAAACCAAAAAATCTGCCCAGACGAAAAAGCTTTATACGGAAAAAAAAACCTCTATTATTATGGCCTTTGGGAGAAATGAGGGATATGGGCAAGTGAGAGAAAAATAGCTCGGGTAGAAATGAGAAAAATTGCCTCTGACACATCACAACGGTTAAAGGCAATAATAAGTAGAACCAGAAAAACTGGCAAAACCCGTTTAGACCCTGGAATTATAAGGGTCGGGTTTGATATTTTTCCCTTCAAATGGGGAATAAGCCTTGGAGGCTAGCCCTGTAGGACTGAGGGCTTAAAAGAGCCAGCTCTGGAGGGCTGCGAACCGGCCTGTTTAAGCCTTTTATAATTTTTTAAAATTTTTTTATATAATTCCAATGTTATTAATTTTTTACATTGTTAATAATATTTTAAATATTTAGTTATTATTATTTTAAATTAAATTTACTTTTAGACAATAATTTATCCAATTAAATTTTTAAAAAATGAGTTAATTTGGACTTTAATAATGATTTGATTTATATTATATGCGTTGATATTTTTAAACTATATATATTTGATAATAGAGTATTTTTATACTTATATAACATGTGATTCTATAATTTGAATTAGAAATTCATGAGTTTCAACAACAATGTTTATCACATTAAAGTAAAATAATAGCTAGATTGTAAAATTTAAAAGTAAAATTCCTACAAAGAAGGAAAAACTTGATATTTTTATTACGAAAAAAAATATACTTATAAAGAAGAGTAATTAATTATAGTGATGATGAAATTTCAAAAGATTAATAATAGTGTTTATTTATTACATAATTGCACTATAGATAAAACTTTTAGATGTTGTTATCTTGTTAATGAATGTTTTAGATATTCTTGGATGTTGATGGATATTTATATATGATGATATTTTATATTTGTAACTTAATTTTATTCATATTTATGTCTTTTATTAATAATTTCATTAGTTTATTTTTATTTTTTATAAAAAAAATATGATAAATATAAAAAATAATATTTTTTTAAAAGGGCCAAAAGCCCGCAAGCCGACCCTAAGCCCTGTAGCTTAAGGACCGGGCCTAGCAAATTGGGGTATTTTTAAAATTTCAGCCCTAAAGGACCAGCCCTTTTAAGCCCCCTAGCCCTGAAAGGCCGGTTCAGCTCTAATTCTCACCTCTAATAATAAGCTACAAAATCCAGCTTCTACTGCAACGCATGTTTTGGAACTTACTTTAGATAAGCTAAAATTGGGTTGAAACCCTTCCAAACACTACCCAAAATTCCAATCGGGCTTACAGTTAATATGTGAGGGTGGGAAATAAGCCAGGAGTTAATAGTAGTATTATTGCAAGATATTCGAATACAACTTCTCAGTATTTTACTGAGGAAGCTAGGCTTTCAGTGTTCCAGGAACTTCTCTGGTTTTTTTTTTTTTTTTTCAAACGAAGCAAAGCCAAATCACTTGCTTCTTGAAAAGTTGCACTTTAATTGGAAAAAAAATACTGATATTAGTCTCAGTTCAATACCAGCACTTACTTTAAGAATGCTCACTATTTGTTGTATCAAAAAAAAAAAAAAGACGAAGAATGCTTACTATTTGGATCTGATGGATGAAGAAACAAAATAGGCAGACGAAAATTGCAAAAGTGGTGCCTACTCCCCACCCTAAAAAAAAAAAAATTGAGATCGTTTGGGGGACACGTTGGCATCTAAGTCCACATACAGAGGAAGTTACCTAAATGTCCTATCATTTTTAAACATCTGCCTTGGTTATTAGGCGTCCCTATGTGGAAATTAGGAGTTTTTGTCCCCGAAAAAGCACGAAGAAAAAAAAAAGTAGAAATGTTGGTTTAGGCGATGTGCGTGCCCAAGAAATGGGGAACGTGCCATCATGACCAGCCACGTGGTTGGGTTGGCTTGCGGCGGCCTTCAGACTCGGGTCTAGTGTAGAGAGGCTCCAGCCCAAGTTATGAAAACGGAAGGATTAGGCTATCCATGAGTGCCTCCAGAGAGAATTAATTGCTCTTTGGACTTTCATACGAGTGTTGTTTTGATTGTGCGTTTTTTTTGTCGGCCAATAATTATGGGATTCCAACTCATCCATGTAATTTAGAACTTACGTGTTTTGATTAAATGAAATGGCTCTTGTGATAAATAAACTGGAATTGAGCTAATAATGGACTTTTTCAGCGTCGATGGGGACAAAAATAGTTTCAACAAGACACTGACAAGTGTAAGCATGGTTGCATCTTGACCAAAAAGAAAGGCGAATGCTTTCGGAAAATGCCGTTTACTGCTGATGACACAGAGACAAGCGGGTGGCTCCTTCGTCGTCCTTCCACCTCTCTTGGCGTGCCTCATATTGTGTTTCTCCTCTTCATACATTCATACTTCTTATTCTCTCCCTCTCTCTCTCTCCCCCCACCATAAGCGCCTATGCCAGTGAACTCCTAAAACTCAGATCTTGAGCCTCAGAGAATCCGGCATGTCATCCCCAACGGCATCGCACTGGTGTTACAGGTGCTCCCGCTTTGTTCGTCTCTCCAATGCTCAGGACCACATTGCTTGCCCCTTCTGCCGGAGTGGCTTCGTCGAAGAGATCCTGGCCAACCCATTATCGGACCGTCGTCTCAGCCCATCTCCGTCTGCGACCATGTCCATCTTCACCCTTGAACCTCAGAATTCCTTCCATTTGAGGAGACAAGGGCTCCGGAGGAGAAGCCGTAATGCCGGCGGCCACTCTTCCTTTAACCCGGTGATTGTTCTTCGCGGACCCGCCCAGGGTGGTGCTGGAGAAGACGGTGCAGGTCATGAAAGAAGTAGCAGCTTCCATCTGTACTATGATGACGGTGATGGCTCCGGTCTCCAACCGTTACCGCCGAATATCTCGGACTTATTGCTCAGGTCAGGCTTCGATCGGTTGTTGGAGCATTTTTCTCAGGCAGGAAATAATGGCCTCGAGCGGTTGGAGAACCTACCGGCGTCCAAAACGGCCATTGGATCAATGCCGACGATTGAGATAGGGGAGGGCCATGTGAGTACGGATACACACTGTGCCATTTGTAAAGAAGCGTTTGAGCTCGGTTCAGAGGCGCGAGAAATGCCTTGCAAGCACATTTACCATTCGGACTGCATTGTTCCGTGGCTTTCAACGTGCAACTCGTGCCCTGTGTGTCGCAACGGGTTGCCTTTGGATGGAAACAATCGGGAAAGCAGAGTCTCCAGGCAAATCGATGAAGAAACGATTGGATTGACGATATGGAGGCTACCAGGCGGAGACTTCGCCGTAGGAAGGTTTCCCCACGATGAAGGTGATGGAGAGAGTCATTTGCCAGTTGTATCCACAGAAATGGATGGTGTGCTCAGCGCAAATAGCGTTCCTAGAAGAGTCTCCCGAGCAATGAGAGGTATCAGACTTCGCGAAAGTCGTGGATTGAACAGAATATTTCGCAACTTCTTGGCATTCTTCGGGAGGCTAGGGTCTAGGTCAACTTCATCCTCCTCTTCATATTCCATTTCTCAAGATGGAACCATGAGTAGAAGCCTCAGGCAGTTGAGTTCGGTATTCACAAGGAACTCGCAGAGCCAAAGTAGAAATTGGATAATGGAAGATTAAATAGAATAACTCCAGCAATTTCTGAAAGGAAAATTTTTAATCAGAGCATACACTTTCCAGTTAAGAAATTTATAGTGAAAATATATCAGAGGATCATCAACTGTGAACTATGAATCGTCAAAGGATGAAATGTGAACTATGGGAGAGCTGGTCTCTTGACGATTGGGCTCAATAGATTTCATCAGAAGCCAAAGTTTTTGGTTCCGTGAAAATACTCATCGGAGGGGGCAATTTTGCTCCTGCAGGTGTCGCTGGAAAAACAAGCATATGCGTACTAAACGAGATGAGCTCGGCTGTTGCAGGGCAGTATGCAGGGCATAAAAGTGAAAAAGACGGAATGCAATCGTATTCCTTGTGTTTCTAAATTATGGATCCATTTATATCGTATTTTATTTACTTGCTTGTTTTTTTTTTTTTTATTGTTATTCATTCGATACTGTTTTGTGAGCTCCCTTTCGACTTGTCGCATCATGTCCTAACAATTTGCTTATACATATTTTAGGTTGTTTCTGTTGAAGTTGACATGGGAAGAGGAGGGAATGCAGATTGAATAGAACGGCAGAAACCTTAACTAACAGTAAAATAAAATTTGATCATATTTTCTAGAATTCAATAGTTGGATTAGCAATTTGGAGCCTGTTTAGGATAGCGGTGAAAATTCCTTATAAGTATGTTTCATGTAAATCAAGACAAAACTCCTCTCACATATTTTTTTTGTAATCTATAAATTATGATCGAAAAACTACTTATAAGTTGTTCCGAACAGGCTCTTAATTAGCTAAGACCTTGTGATTTAATCCTTCATCTGTATGGTGTTTCAAATTTTCAAATTGGATACATGATTCTGAATTTTTGAATGACTATTCAATGGACTCAACTTTTTAAGACCCTGTTTTGTGGTCTTTGATCAAGAAAACAAATAATTAGCCATAAGAGTTTGAAAAGTGTGTCAATATTATTGCTTTGAAATTTCATAGTCGTGACAAATATAGTTGCAAGAACAATCACATTAGTGATCAGTGCTTTAATTTCTTGCAAAAATTATTGTTTCATATCACCAAATCAAGGGTTGCGTTTCTTCTAATTGTTATCTACCCCATACGAAGCACAAGTGGTCACGTTCTCCTAGTACTGGGGAAAAAAATGCTACATTTACAATCCGTCGCGTCGGACACTGTACCATACGACCTTCACTTGGGAAGCTCCAATCCAATGTGTCACGGACTTGGTCGCAATTCCAACGAACCGTGCGGCCTAGCAAACTTCTTGCCTAAAGTTGCTAGTCAGCCTACTCATGAAGGAACACGAAGGAACAAGAGACTCAAAGAAAGAACTTTGTATTGATCTCTCAAAGTACTTACAACACTCTCACTTTCTTGAGTGTGTGAAATGAATGAGGGGGAGGGGGTATTTATAGTTCTCCACCTCCTCAATGGACGGCTAAGATTTACTTAATCCAACGGTTACAATGTTGTATCTAGAATACTCTACAAAAATATCTAGATATTTACAAAGGGGTTAGGTGTCTCTACAACTATCTATAGCATTCTGGAACCTTTCAAGCTTCCCCAACAAGCTCCACACATTTCTAGAGAGTTCCAGACTTACCCAAGACTTTTGTGGACACCTTTGGACAGTTCTGGGCAGCGAGCCTTTGTGTATTTTGGGCAAAACACGAGCGATGCGTTACAAATGGCATGGGGCTACAAAACCTGTTGCATTCCAAGAGGGCATGACAATGACGCAGAACTTCAGCGTAATGTGGATGTTTTCCTATTATGTTCTCCATATGCTAAACCGACGCAACGATTAGACATTACTTTCTTTTGGAGTGACATGATTATGGAGCGGATTATTGGACGGGCGATCCAGCATGACTCTGCCCCATTCGAACTTTATTCAGACTAATGTGTCCAGCTTCGCAAGTGTTGGCTTGAGAGGAAATCCCTTCTGTCAGGTTCTCAGCTTGTGATCAGCGGTTCTCCTTTGCAAGCACCCTTCATTATTTTCATCATCCCCAGGCACAAGGAACCTTGCAAGCAAGTTGTTGCACTTTTTAATTGCTAAATATAGAAGCAGTTGCCCCGGGGGGGTGGATCAGGCATTAGATACCTATGACTGGACACATGTAAGTGCTGGGATCTTGATTAAGATAATGTTGTTCTTGCACCAATTCTTCGGACAAAAGGTGGCTCAGAGGTCTTCGAAAGTAGACAAGCCACCCATAAGCCATAGTCCATTATTTATTTGTTGGTCCTTTTTTCCCCATGAATCTTGGTTAATAAAGAAAATATTTTCTGCTCCGCCTTCAGTGGTAACTTTGCAACATTTTCTTTGGAGAGCCAAGAATGCCATTGATACCGTTGACTGCCAATACTTCTCTGTTTTTTTTTTTTGGTCATTAAATAATTGGAATTCCTTTGATGTCGAATAATATGATTTAAAGAATCGAATCGTCTGACATGAACCCCATGTAAGGGCCATTAGGGGAGAGCTTGTGACCCATAGCCCATACCGGTCTCGGAGCTACATCACGTACAGAGCATCCTATGCATTCTATGATTCAGCAACAGGAGGATATGGGGTCAAACCTGTACTGTGTGCTGGTAGGATGAAATTATATTTTTGTCTGGCAACTGGAAGAAAAATATTCCAATCCACCTTGGACACAGAGGAGCTGGAGCTAGAGGAAACTAGACAGTTGATTAGCAGGACTGTAAGCTAACTTGGAAGATGTTATTCATGTATTGTCTAGTGACTGGAAGCCACTAACACTGATAATCATCCTTTATTCAATGAACTAGTTTTGCTACCATTAAATTAGGATAAAAAAAGCAAGGACCATCATTACACACGCATAGAGAAAAGATAGAGAGCGCGAGCCAGGAGAAACAGAGACGAGTTTGGCGGAAAAAAGACTTCTTTGAGGATCCCCAACCAAAAGCAAAACAAAGGTTTTGACGTTGTTGATAATATGAGCATAAATTAAGGTTAGAAGTGGAGTCCAGCTAACATAAATGTAAATCCCATAACTCACATCAATTAATATTCGTAATTACAATTGAAGCTATATATCTAGAAATGTTGAAAGAAAGGAAAGAAGAATGGACCCCTTGTAGATCAGATGTTGAAAAGTTAAACATGTAAGCGAGGGATCTATGAAAAAAGGCAGGGCTTTTAAATTCCCTCAAGAATCACGGTGCTTGTGCCAGCAAACTAACATGGCGACACAACGTCTCATAATGTAAAATCTGGCTTTGTGTTCCTTAGCTAAATTGCTGTACTTGCGGCCGATTGAAGGGTTCTTCTGTGAGTGGCTCCTGGGAAGATTGCTGTTGGAAGAGGAGGAAGATGAACTCTTGCACGATAAGCTCCTGAGGAGAGGAGATTTTGAGGTTGGGTTGTTGCACCCATGGCTGCTCGAATCTGATTCCACCTTCTTTGATGCCTTCCACTTCTCTTCCATCCCAAATACACAAGCTCACAGTTATCAACAGCTATATATATAACGCCCACTTAGCCAGATGAGATGAGAGAGCAAAGAAAGTTGCATCTGCTTGGACGGATCGGAGTTGTATATATATAACGGTTCAGTGAGCTATCATTATTAATTAATCCTTACTGGTACATTTTTCAGGGGAGATATACTGTATCAAATTGTGCAACATATTAATATAGTGTACTTAGCCCTAAAACTTAGTCTCGCAGAGTTGATGAACCTACGTGTATATTAATGTCGGCGAAATGCAACGTTTACTGGTTCTCGTAAAAATAAATACCATAAAATAGTTGTCATTAAATATCGCATGCTTGTGCATCAATACCTGTACATGTTCAGTTTTCACGTTGGTCCAGGCATAAAATCATTTTTTTTCAAATGTTATGGAATTAACTTATACGTTAACTGGGTTCATATTTATCATTTTAAGAAAGTGTTTCTGAGATTGGTCAAATATATCATAAAGAATAAATTATTTCTTCATGCTAGCTCTCAAGTTTGTTATATGCATAATCAAAGTAGTACCAAAAATATTCCCAAGAAGGAAAAAAAAAAAAACAGAGCAAAGAAATCACATGTACGGTTTAACCAACTCCTGTATATAGGTTAGGGAAGAATAATTTATGTGGGATTAGGCACAAGTACCAAAAACCTAACAATGTCGGTTACAAAGGCCAAGCAGCGCTCTAAACTTTTCCACGTTAATTAATATTCTGGTTTCTGAGCGAATGGATTATATGTTGATAGAAACAACCAACAGTAAAAGGAAAGGCATGTAGGAGTAATTATTATAGAGGAAGCCCACTGCCGCGAACATTAAGAATCATAGTACTTAATTGCACAAGATTAAGGTAATCCAAGTAGGTCACAGCGCAATAATCTGATTTTCCTGGACAAGGATCCAGAAGTATTATTGAGTGGCCTTGGATAAGAACCACTTCTTTGTGGATGGATGTACAGTAGACATGTGAAGGGTGGCGCATTTTGTGTCCACACTCTCCCCACATTTTTATTACCCTTCTTTGATCATTTGTACTGTTTTCTACTCCCTCCACCCATTTTACCAGATAGTATTTTTTAACCATTGTGCACATATCAGTCAAAAGATAAAGTATAAAAGTAGGCCGACTTTCCATTTTTGATATTTATTTCTAAATATTTAGTTAACACTCTATAATTTTTAAGAGATTAGAGGTGAAACAGTCTGATTGTGGAAAGAATATGATACAACCCCCAGCCGAGAGAAAATAAAAAGCTGTAAAACTACATCTCACTAGCACTATGGTCAAAGAAAGAGTTGCGACCCTCCCAGGCTAGAGCTCTGTACAATGGATTGTGTCTTAGTTCTATCTAATTCAGATGAAGGAGACCCCTGACATATCCTTGATCCATGGTCAATTAAAACAGCGTTTGAAATACGACTACCTTTGACTGTCTGTCCCAAAAAGAAAAATATAAGTAATTTCTGGACCATTATTTGCTGTTCCCTTTAATAATCTTT